CCTGTGCAGCTGCTTCGTTTCTTTAATCCTTTCAGTTTCTGGGGGTCAAGAAAAACAGCCACCTGATTACCAAGAGGAAGTGCAAAGCACTTAATTAGGTACCTAGAAATGAAGCAAGGTGACACATGGCTTGGGGCGCAGATGAGGACGCCTGTGCTGGGCGGAGGTCCAGTGCTTGGATGCACAACAAAACAAAACGAAAGGCAAGTGAGACAATGAGCCTGATTAACAGGGGCATCCTCATACTCGCCAGTATTGTTTTTCCCCAGAAAGTGCATGGAACACCTGTGATACTGGGTCGGTTACTTGGAAGCCTGCCTACTGCTGTAGGCGGACTGCTTTCAACAGCTATTCAGTGGCATGCCTGCTTCTGGGGAATGAGGAACATAGGAAGAACATGCCTGCTGCGTGTGCTCAGGGTGGGGCCGCACACACATGCAGAACACTTACATAATGACAGGTGGGCACGGCCACGTTGGCTGCCTGTTATTGGGAAACAGCAAGGACATACAGTAGATATCCTGTTTATGGGCCTCAGCCTGGGCTTCTCAGCAGCTTGGGCACTCCCCCCATGCACCAGCCACCAGGAACTCATGGCTGCCTGCCCACTGAGCCTTTTGTTTGATGCAGAAAATAATTAACATACTTGCATTTCACCCATTTATTAAGGAAATTGTTTAAATTGTGTCAATGTTGTTGTGAAACTATGATTATTTGCTCTGCTTTCTGCTGCTCTGCTCCCCGCCTCTGGAATTCGCTTCCTCCAGACATTAGAAACATTACTTCTCTTTCTCTTTTTAAATCTAGGCTCAAAACTCACTTGTTTAAATTTGCTTTTCCAACATAACCTTTCTTTTATTCTATCTTTTTAATTTGGATTGTTTTATATAGATTTTGTAAATTGTTTGCTCTTATGTTTGTTTTTTTATCATTTGTTGTGTACAGTGTCCTTGAGTGTCTTGAAAGGCGCTTTTAAATAAAATGTATTATTATTATTATTATTATTTGTGAGCATTAAAAAACTATAAAACCTCTCCTTAAATCCTACTCCTTAAATCTCAGACACACAGATGCAGATACACAGGCAGACTCAAAAGCATTGACACAGACACACCTTTCTAGCAGCACTGATGATGAAAATTCCTTTGCTGTTCTACATTTCCTGATCACTCAACTTACATGGATTCATGATTCCATAGGGGTGTTGGGTGGGGGTGGGGCATGAATATCCTGGTAGATTCAGGGGGCCTGGCACTTAAGAGGGGCTTTTAAATATGTAAAATTGGGTGGCTGACATTTCGTCAGGGAGCCCAGTATTTCTAGGCTCTGAGTAGGTGAAACACAGGTCTGCTGGAGGCTCTGTGCTCTTGAACATGGGCCTTTGCAGGATGGGCTGTTATGGACCCCTGGGAAAAGGGATCAGAGTCAATGTAGGTGAAAATACAGCTGGATGCAGAGTGAATGGCACATTATCTTTGCGCCTGCGTGTTATAAAAACTACGCAGGACTGGCAATGGAGTGTTGTGCTCAGGAACGCATTTTTACTTTCATGAGTTATAAGTAAATATCCGCATGAAAATGATTAGTGTGATATGTATCAGCCAAAGGAAGAAAGTTTTTTCATTTCACTTGTCTGTGATGACTCTCTGCTCCCGTAACCTCCCTGATCTGTAAGATATGACTGATACACGAGGCACATGAAAACCACTGAGAGCTTGTGGGACATCCTATAGGCCTTCCATTTAATGCCAAATAATGACCCCAACATGAAACCAGTAAAGCTGAGAAACTGATTAACTAATTCTGGGACTTTTATGCAGATATAGGCATTTTGGTCGGGTGTTCCTAAAATGTCTGTTCAACTAAAATAAAGAATTGTATTTGTTTATCATTTAGAATTAAGTTTTACATTTATTTAGCAGTCGCTTTTGTCCAAAGCTATGCACATTTTTGAGAGAAAGCAGGGTCAGCCAGTCTCTGTAGTAATATATGTTATTTTACCTGCATCTTTAAATTACCTTATAGGGTGTGCAGTCTTTTCATAATCTTTCCACCTCCAAAACAGAGACTGTGAGTACAGAGTATGGAAAAGCAAGATGCCCGGCCCAAATGCAGACAAAGCCCATGGCAGGACATACCGAGGCAGTCTACTGCCTCCGCCTCATCTAGTCATTCAAGGACAATCCATTAAGGTTCTCACTGCTGTGAGGTTTTTCCTCACAAATGGCCCTACCTGCTGTGATATTTGAATAGTGTGACTACAGCAGTGGATCATCTGACCTCAGCTGTTCAAACACACCAGAATGGAAGATCTTGTTTGGCTGCAGTCAGAACAGAACATATATTTAAGACACTGGGGGACATTCATCCCTCTCCCATGGACCACCAAACCAAAGAGTTTTTATCACTGACTCATTCTAAGACTTTCTCCACAGTTCAACTGGTTGGCTAGAATGTGTTTTTTACCATAAATAAAATTTAGCTGATGCTGAGGCAACGTCGACATCCTTTACTTTCGCTTTTATTTTCAGAGAAAAACATATCACTGCTGATCACCTGCCACCCAGAGTGGGCTGATTTGGAAACATGTCACATGATTGCAGAGGAAACGAGAGAGGAGGTTGTGAAACATTTTTATTTAACAGATGGCAATCGAGTCCAGACACACAGTGTGTGAGAGACAGACGGGTTATCCACTTCATGTCATTGTGTTTTATTCTATTTTTCCTTATAAAGCCATAATTCGCTATCATCTATCTATCTATCTATCTATCTATCTATCTATCTATCTATCTATCTATCTGTCTGTCTGTCTGTCTGTCTTATTTGGTTTATTTACTTTTGGCCTTATTTGGTTGTGCAGTAGTATACTAGTATGTTATCATTATAGTTCTTGCCCCTGCACCATCCTATTTAATTAGTGGGTGTGAAGAGGATAGGGGTGGGTATGGTTGCAGGAGTGAGTGTGTAGGGGTGGGAGGGCAGCTGTGGGGCATTGAATAGATCTGGGTGTTCTGAGTAATTACAGTTTTTCTCAGTCATTTTCATATAATTTCCTCATCACAAATACCATTCTCACCACTCTTAATGCAGTTCTCAAAACAGTAACACAGTCCCCCACACAAATTAACATTTCTCATCTGACTTTGACAGTTCATCAAAACAGTTTGTACATTCATTACTGAGAGTTGCAGGTCACTCACTCACTTTGATACTGTCGCACCATGCATTAGTGTCATCAATCAAATCATTTTAAACTTCTTTCAGGTATGTAGTAAAGAGTTAGGCCAATCACACACTTGTCAGTGGTAACAATAAGATTGGTCTTCAATAGATGGAATTACATGTTCTCAGATAAGAATCATTTGAAACAAAGAGAAACACATGTTCACAATGTTATATCACATGTGCATGTCATGCCACTAAATTGCATTCACACAAGCATATATAGATGCTCAGGTTCCATTCAGTGCATAGTGCTGAAAATGGTGCATGAACTTGTGAGAGGGCGTGGTGTTCGAAATGCATATTTGTCGATTTCAAGATTTCATGATCAACATGATCACTCTTGTTCTCTCTTTTGCTCTTTCTTATTTACAGTATATATGGACGTTATATATGTTTGTGTTTCTATTTTACAGAGGATACTTGAGTTGGAGGCCAGTCTATAAATGTACTATGTACTGTAACATAATGTACTACAGTAAATGTACAAATTTCAATTCCATATTTTTGTGCATATTTTCTGTTACTTGGTTCTATGCTTTCTCAGTTACAGTAATTATCTGTAAATTTACAAATGTTTCACATTACATTGTATTCTGTTTTTTTCTCTACATTAGATTTTAGTAAGAATTTAAGTTTTGACTAAGTCTTGATGCACTGGTGAAAGTGTTTTATTCATTTGTCACAGTGATGAAGTGATTGACTGATGTTGTATGCTTTAGTGTTAGGAGAAATGCATGAACTGTTTTGAGTTCAGAGTGGTGAGAATGGTGTTTCTGATGAGGAAATTGCATGAAAGCGACTGAGAAAAACTATAATGATATGGACTAATGCTTTATGATGTGTGTTTACTGTTCTGACCAATTAATATATCGGCACCAAATTCCAATAGAGATGATTGGCCAGTAATTGCAGCTAACTGCAATAGCAGAGATTCCCAGGCATCTGCTACAGAAACTGATGAAGAAAGCCAGAAGGTCACATGGTTCCTGAAATGTGACCCACTGGTGTTTACATCCATCACGGGTCACTCTCATGTGACTCCTGTTTTGCCCTGATGCCTGAACATGTCCTCACACTGGTCACTTAATCAGTATATAAAAATAATCCACTGATAATGAAATTGGGTATGATTTTAGACAGTCCTCATTTTTCTGTGATACGGTCATGATGGAAATGTGAGATTGTCCTGTGTAGTCCTCGATGATGCAGCAATATAACCCTGTCAGTTCTGAAGCTCAGAAATAAACTATTACCTGTTCCTTCCTAAAAGTTGTATAATGAACATCATCATTATTCTTATTGCATGTCTACAACACAAGCAGTGGTGTGAATCTGATCTTTGTCATTGTGTTTAAAGCTTTAATGGCAGGAACACATTTATACCTGGGTATTCAATCAGCAAACTTAATCGGCATCTTTATTGTTATCTCTTTATAAAGTGGCCATCAGTAGAGTTTTCTGAAACTACCCTGTTTTGGCCCTGTCCTGTTGCTGATTAAGATTATGTTGCTGTACTCATGAGCTGGTGGGTAGCAATACATACCATAGATGTGTAACACAGTGAGGTTCCCGTTCATATTTTTGTTTGGATTCTGTACAGCACTTTGGCCCAGAGTGGGTTTGTAAAGGGCTCTATAAATAAAGTTGGTATGGTATGGTATGGTATATCAGTGATGTAATAGTACTTTTAGCCCTCAGATAGGGAAATCCCCCCCCCCCCCAGACAGCACACACTGCTAGTGATTCATGAGAAATCCCTCTACAAACATGCAGTAAGCAGAGTCATATCCAGCAAACAGACAGAGAAGCCACGCGGTGGCACATCACATTGGGACAAGACCCATGTCAGGCTGACGGAACACACGGCACCTTGCTCCTGGCATCTCCACTGCATAAGGCTCTCATGGGCATCTTCATGGATCAGCACATCAAGTATGACTGAAGGTGAGGCCCGTTTCATAAGGACCAGCAGACTGCCAAGCCTACTGGGTACACTGCTCTCAAAACTGATGGTTCAACATTTACCTCTTTATATTTCTAACACCAATTAATTTCTCAGTATAGAATTTTTTTATGAGAAATATTTATACTTTGTTTATTTGCTAACAATAGGCATAGTCCAATAAAAATAATCCACTGATAATGAAATTGGGTATGATTTTAGTCAGTCCTCATTTTGCTGTGATACGGTCATGATGGAAATGTGAGATTGTCCTGTGTAGTCCTCGATGATGCTGCAATATAACCCTGTCAGTTCTGAAGTTCAGAAATAAACTATTACCTGTTCCTTCCTAAAAGTTGTATAATGAACATCATCATTATTCTTATTGCATGCCTACAACACAAGCAGTGGTGTGAATCTGATCTTTGTCTTAGTGTTTAAAGCTTTAATGGCAGGAACACATTTATACCTGGGTATTCAATGGAAGCTCAGCCTAGCTGCACTTGTGCTTAGTGGGCTGCTTGAGAGCCGTATGTTTCTACTGTGCTATTTGCTTTATTTACGATGCTTCGGGTAAAAGGGTCTAAATACATTCAATTCTTAAACTCAACAGAGTCCAACGGCACGCTGGTTCTAGATGATTTACTGGAGATTTTGAAGGATTTATCCAATTACTATGACGACCTGAATATTTCGGGGAACAGCAGCAGCGGCGGCTTCCTGCCGGACCCGGGCACATTTGCGTGTGAGCCATTCACTGTCTCACTGGCCCTCAGCATCCTGGTGTGTACCTTCTACTTGCTGGTCTTCTTCCTGGCCGTCCCAGGGAACCTGGTGGCGGCCGTGGCCATTGGTTCCAGCCACAGGGCCCTGTCCCCCTCCGAGTTGTATCTGCGGCACCTGGCCATAGCCGATGGGCTGTTGGCACTCACGCTGCCGCTGTGGGCAGTGGCAGCGCTGCGTGGCTGGACATTTGGCGACAGCCCCTGCAAACTGGCCAGTCTGGTGCTGGAGGGCAGCTTCTACAGCAGCATGCTGTTACTGGCCTGCATCAGCGTTGAGCGTTACCGGCTCATTGTGCGAGCTGCACAGAGCCGCAATGAGGCATGCAGGCGGCGTGGCAGCTGGCTGGCATGTGCTGCTGTCTGGGTGGTAGGGGGTGCCCTCTCACTGCCGGCACTCCTCAAGGGGCAGGTGCAACCCGTAGGTTCAGTGTGGCCAGTCTGCGAGGAGAACTACTCACCGGAGGCAGCGGCAGCCTGGCGCCTGGCCACGCGGCTGCTACGCCACACGCTGGGCTTCCTGCTGCCGCTGGCTGTCATGCTGACATGCTGCTGGTCAACTGCCGAGCGGCTGCGACGAACGCGGGGCAGGAGGGGGCAACGTGCCCGCAGGCTCATCTCTGCCGTGATCCCCGCCTTCCTGCTGTGCTGGGCCCCCCACCACCTGGCAGTGATGGTCGACACTCTGCAGAGGATCAGCCTGGTGCCTGGCGGCTGTGAGGCCCGGCGTGTCGTGGGTGCCGCCATCTTTAGCACGCAGGTGCTGGGCGTGCTGCACAGCGCTATCAACCCTGTGCTCTATGCCTTCATCAGCCACGACTTTCGCCGCAGGATGTGCCAGAGACTTTGTGGCCAGAGGGCAGCAGACCGCGAGGTGCCCCCCAGAGGAAGCCGGTCACTATCTCAGAATTCGGATGGAGTTTCCACAGCCCTGTGACGACCAATGGCCGCACCTCATTCCCCATGAAGATCGACAACCGCACCTTATTCCTCGCGAAGACCGATAACCACGCCTCACGCCCAATGACGACCATACCTAGTTCCCTGTAATGACCGCGCCCAATTCCCTGTGAAGGCCACACCTCACGCCCTGTGATGCCCACGCCTCATTCTTTGAGAAGGCTGTGGCTCACACTGAACATCTCGACCCCAGAGGTTTGGGGACGCCCTTTTGGAAACAAACAGTCACTACACTAAATACTAAACACATTCCTACGATTTTGACTCTACTTCCTAATTTACATCAACACTATATGCAACCAGGAAGCAAATGTATCCCAGCAGCCCCACGAAAAGAAAGGAATTCTCTAACAGAACATTTTCCTCAACCGACCAGTTTCTTCACTGCAAACAATGAAATGGCCCATGAAGATGCCCCGCCACTGTTGGCACCCAGGGATATTGTTAACCCGTCACACGGACCACATGTCCCATGTATATAGACACCCTGATCATCATGTTTGAGTTGGACTTCTGCCTTCTGAGTTGGATTTCTGCCTTACTGTAGAATTTAAGATGGGACAGTTTTCTGTTGTCAGTGGATTCTCTGAAATTCTTAAAATCCCTACAGAAAAATGTTTAATAATATGCATGCTTGATATTTAAAGAAGAATACCATGCACAATACAAATGACTTCTAGGTAAATCTGCTTTCCACTGCCCCACAAATACCTCTTAGATTAACGCTGTAGCATTAGCTTTAGGCTAATAGTTACACAGCCATTTTGCTGTATATAGGTTGCTGCTTTACCAGCAGTATGTAGTATAAACTAGGATTCGTGGTAGTTATGTGAATGTTTGCAGTATTATGGCACTATTACTGTATAGCTTGGAATAATCATCATGGTGTACAGTAGAGTGTGCTCTCCTTGATAGCCAAAGGAATACAAAAACATCTGGATGTTTTACCAAGTAAATATGGTTATTTAATATCCAGAAACGCTGTGCTGGTGGCATATTCCTACCCGGCTTGCCTGTCTGTTCCCCTCTGTAACACATTTTAAAGAGCAACTCTTTTACTAACATTGAATGGGGATGAAGAAGGCTAACAGGAAGAGAGTAAGTGTGTGTGTGTGAGAGAGAGAGAGAGAGATAAACAAAATATATAAAAAATCCATATATTTGGAAAACAAGAGCTGTCTCAGGAAATCAAGATCAAGATCATGACCTAAATATAAAAAGAACCATTCCTGTGATTTTTATGCTTTGTTTTGCTCCTGAACTGAAGGCTGCTCACACAGTTGTGGTGTGATGCCTGTATACTGCTGGTCAAGGACCAAGTCCTGTCCAATAATACCCAGCCTGTAATTTATGCAAATGTACGGCTTTGTCTTAATGAACAGAGAATTAAAATACTTCCAAGTACTAATCAGTGAGTCTTCTCCCCTCTCATTTTAATGGGCTGTACAGTGCTGTAGTCTATCTCCACAATCCCCTCAAATCCCCCCCCACAAGTCTACACCCACACCCCACCCCCGCAACCTAGAGTGCACGATTCACGTTGCAGAAATACAGAGAACCAAGTTACTGCAGCTCAGAGCCAAAACCGCATGTGGGGCACAGTACTCAGCAAGTACTGTAGCTGGTTGTGTATGCAAAGTCGTAACACTCAGGAAGTGGACACAGGCATCAGTGTGCAGCCGGAATTTTCAGAAGAACCATTTCCTTCTGCTGCTTCTGTCCCAAGCAAAGGTCATATGTGAGCTTTATCTGTAGTATTACCGTAATCACACACTTGGTATTTACCGGGCAAAAGTGACCTTTAAACCTCAAAATGAAAGTGACTGTTCGATGACAGGACTTGTGTTATGAACACTGTCCAGCGCTGCATGCACCACAAGCACATAGCACTGAAGACACACAAGATAAATTGGTACAGCGGGTACACTATAAACCAAACTACTATTATGATGCTGCACAGCCAGAGATAGAGTGACAATGACACAGTGAGAAGGTGCAGGGGGATCCCCAGGAAGTTTCATGATGTCAACACATCTGTCCAAGTTCCTACATATCAGCTATCACACTCTTCAGCCATGCACTGTGTTTGGTACCCTGATGGACAGATAAATGCAGCTGTTACCTGTAGATGGAGGCCGTTGACAGGAGGAATAGTAACTGGAAGCGACGTGCAACCTGTGAAAGTTAGCTGGAAAGTGGAACCACAGAAAGAAAAAAAAGTTCCGAGAGGTGTTTTTTTAATTTACTGGAAAAACATTTTCACCCTAGTAGGTTTGCTGGAGTCCTGTGACGGTCATGGGACTGAACTGAAATGAGAGAAAATAAGCTACAGAGCTTGCATAAATGATAATGAAATTATATATGTGGTTTTAAAAATAAAAAAGATCATTCATGCATCCCGGCCAGGGTCACTGTGTGAGAAAGATCAGTGAGGCTGTTATTTTCTTAAATTAAGCTTCACAACACCTTTGTTTACATTGTGCAATGATATCATTCAGTTCCTCCTTTTCACAGTGAAATGACCGAGCTGTTATTCCACAGACAGAGACACTGTGGCTTCCTGTCCCGTTATTCTGCTGTTTTGCCTGTAGAGGGCAGCCACATTTCTCTATTTCCTTGCCAGAGGTCATGAAGCAAAGCTTTTAGCACAAAGACAACTAAGACTGAGCCTCACCACAGCCTGTAAATTTAAATGACAGTGACCTGATGAGATAGGAAAGGTTTAAGGGTTGAGCTAGCAAGCAGTTTTTACTGTGACTACTGCTGTCGGTCGTCACTTAAGAGCATCCCAGCGTGGCCTGTAGCTTCATTTGTGGTACTTAATGTTTGGAGGATTATATGCAAGAAAGGAGTGTCTACCTAAACTCAGCAAGGTGCCAGTTTCTGGCCACATATCCAGCATTCCCAGGGCCAACCAACAGGTGGAGCAGCCTATGTATTTTCCATCACTTGTTCTTCAGATTTCATGGGTTCAGGTCAGTCACATGCTCATACAGAAATTCTGAAGAGTGAAGCACTGTGCTGCCCTTGCACAGATCATGACAAAGTAAAAGGGTGCTGGTTGGGGGGGAGTTGGAAAGGAGCAAAGTGAATTGACCCTCCAGGTATCAGGAAAAATTCTTAGCAATAAACAATATGATAAAACCATATGAGTATCCACAGTCTTTAAAGTGCTAGGGGGCATCAAGCAAATGGAGGGATGGTGACATTATGGCTGCACGGCCATTTCTGTGAGGTATGGTGGCAATGTAGGTTCAGCCCTCTGTGCCAGGGCTTGAAGGGTGCAGAAATAGAGAAGGGAATGCCATACACCCTAGCCATCGTGCTAACACAAAGCTGGCAAGCTTCTGGGTTGAGGCAGTATGGTTGTAATGTCTTTTAAAGGGTTATAAATAAGCTCCTTCCAGGGTCTGAACCTGTCACTTCCTGCCAGCAAGAGTGGCAAGTGTGGCTCCCACACTCCCTAACACAAGGAGCTTCTTCATACCTTAGAGCCACCTGATGTGCTCCCCTCTCATTCCCCAATGAGAAGAAGGAGATGGCTGTGGAGCCAATCACAGAGCAGGAGAGCACAGACATAGGTGGACACAGGCGCCATCTGATGCTGGGCATGGTATAAAAGGCTGGATATGAATGAGGAGGTCCATTGTGTGACCGCTGCAGGTTGCGTGAGATACAGAGCCCATGTAATGACCCCCATCAACGATATTCAGCATGGCTGTTCTGTCTAGGCCTTTAATGAGCGCTTGGCCCCCATCCTCAACCTCCAAGTTCTTTTCCGGGAAATCCAACCTGGCTACCTAGGCTGAATGTAACTTTCTGTTGCTCTTTGAAGCCTAGGCAGAAACTGTGACACATTTGTATTGAACTACAATACAAAAATCACAGCTATATCCTCCTGAGACCCAAGGAAAAAAGTGTCCTTCAATTTTAGGTTATTTGTCTTTGGAGAAAATAAGACATCTTATAATTTAGATTTTTTCAAATTTATTTTTATTTTTAATTTCACAGCATGCCCTCTTTAGTGTACAACAGGAATAAATATGTTTCCTTACATCAGTGAAAAGATAGATGCAAAAACAAAATGTCCACTACAATGGACATAAATGAATGGGTGCCGTCTCAGTAGGATATGAGAGACCCAGGACACTGTGTGTATTTATTCTCCTAAAACCTTACTACTGACTTTACTGGTCATGGATCCCAGCTCCACAGTGATTAATGTGAGTAATGGGAGTAATGTTTAAAAGTGGCACCCCATCCCACACATTCAGTATCCTCTGCATGCAACAGCCCCGCCTGCATTTAGGCTGTTATATTATTTCATTTAAATTTCAGAGCCATATGTTTAACATGAAGGCGACATTTCCGTCGAAAACATCTCCTGGTGTCACATGCCACCAGTATTTTGGCATCCCGATCATTTAATGGTTTCTAGTTCGTAAAAAAATCTTTCGTAATTTCTGGAACTGATGAACATGGCTCTAGGATATCATTATATCACATAATAACGACGTCTAATAATAATAATAATAAACGGTTTATGTGCTAGACTTTTTGGCCATAAAGTGTCGAACCGTAACCAGCACCAGATAAAAGCCTGTAAAAAAGTTCACCTTTATGACACACAGATTCCAATCTGTCTTATTTTACTCTTCACTCAAACCGGCTGTTTTCCACCGACCGGGTGGGAAGCTCACTCAGTGCAGCATGGAAAATCATGGGAACCGAACTGGACCTTCTGATGGCTGCATTTTCTCAACCCGCTCTTTCTGGGTAAAGCATGTTTGGAGGCGATAAACTTTTTAAAAGGAAAGCAGGGGGTCCGGCGGAGCAGGAGGCGTCTCAGTGAGTTAACGCGCAGCTTTGAGGCTCAGCCGGATGAGCAAGCCAGGAGCTGGGGAGCCCTGAATGGGACGTGCGGTGAGCCTCCTTTGCTGTGAAGACGACTTGATGCTAATGCCTTTCCAGCGATATAAGGAAGAGGAAAAGGTGTCTCATGGTCCAGGTAGGATGAAGGGAAACTCAAGGTCCGTGAAATGTGCTTGAATCTGGTGTCACTGTGACCACTGATACATCTGTGCAGACCACCGCGACACTAAAGACAAATGGGTTTAGTCGGCCATAGCCTTAAAAAGTCACTTTACAACAGTTTTTGAAAAGCAGCCGCTACATGTCCCGTTTGGCCGGAGAGGAAATACCTGGTGTGTGTGTGTGTGTGGGAATGGGGGTGGGGGGTGTAGGTGAGTTATCTTTTGCAGTTCTATGGAAGGCCATTTGGGACTTAACGTCTACTTTGACGTCTGTGTTAACACGTAAACAAATAACGTCTTAACACGTGTTAAAACTATGGAAGGCCAACGGGGCCAAAACGTCTTACAACTTTATGCCTAAAGACGTCAAATATTAATGGCCAGAGACGTCAAATTTTCAAGCCTTTAGATGCAAAAAATCAACATGTCGATTTTTCACATGCAAAAAATCAACATGTCGATTTTTCATGCCTAAAGATGTAATTTTTTATACCTTCAGACGTCAAAAAAAGGCGGAATTTCTCTCTTTTTAAATTAGGACATACACTTAATTATTTAAAAATATAATAAAATATGTGCATGTATGCGTATATTATTAATATTCTTAATTACAATTTGTGTTGCTACTAGTAGTTGTATTTAACAAATTTTACTACTATTCTTCTTATTATTATTATTACTATTATTATTATTATAGTGAGTAATTATTTGTCACCACAGCTATGGAGTTAATTTTGTGCCAAAAGTATCAATCAAAATTTTGAAAACCGCATGCAAATCATTAAGTATCAGAATGAAAATTTGTATTCCAAATATCAAAAAAGTCTAATAAAATCATTTTATCCTTCTTCTTCTCTAATTTGTTTTGCTTCTGGAATGTTTTTCTTTGCTTTTGGATTTTTTTTTTTTGCTTCTGGAATATTTTTCTTTGCTTTTGGATTTTTTTTTGCTTTTGGATTTTTTTTTTGCTTTTGGAATGTTTTTTTGCTTCTGACTTTTGGCACTGTTTTAATGGGTGGGCGGGCCTTAGCAGCTTACACGTCTATTGGTCAGCTGGAATTTGGAGTGAACACGCCTTTAACCATCTGAGCACGCCCACTCCATGATGCATCAGAACATCGCAACATAGCGGGACCGGAGCCAGTTTACAGCATTGAATTGCATATTTGTACTTCTATAATAGTGTACTTTTATTAGGAATCGGTGTATGCAACACATATTTCGCGTTCATAAAATGTCACCAACCCATCCAAAAAAAATCCAAAAGCAAAGAAAAACATTCCAGAAGCAAAACAAATTAGAGAAGAAGAAGG